CTAAGAACTTCATTTGGACAACTTTAAAGGCGATTTTCTCAATATTTTGCACCCTCAGATTGCAGATTTTCAAATAGATTTCCAAATATTGTCCTATCCTAACAAACCATGCATCAATGGAAAGCTTATTTATTCAGCTTTGAGATGGTGTATAAATCTCAATTTCATAAAATAGACCCTTATGACTGGTTTTGTGGTCCAGGGTCACATATGTTAATGTGCAACTCAGTTTTGATTGCTGGTTGCCAGATTTGAGTGCTGATTATTAAATAAAGATGATTAATTAAATAATTATTACATAAACTTTATTTTTGTGTCCTAACAGTGATGTGATATATAACCTTTCTATGCAAGATCACAAGAACTTACTTTAGCGGTGGTCTGACAAATCCTTTCATTCTGGCCTCTCTCTTTCAACACTGCAGTGACCAGCGTCCTCACAGCCTAGAATTAAAATGCCAAAAAAGCACTGATCAGGCAGAAAAGCTGGTTCTTCACATGCCTTGAGCAAACTAAACAAAAGATTTAATCAAAATTACACATTCACAGGAATAGATTTCTTCAAGATCGACGCGTTTTGTGGGATAATCATTTCATTGAATTGCTGTGGAATTCGAACCTTGATTTACCTCTAAATGCTTAAATCATCAGTCTGTTTTTGAGTGCTTTACCTGAGCTTCAATGAGGGAGCTGGGGAACTCAAACCTGGTCTTCAAAATTTCAGTCATCTCCAGAAATCACGAATGATGCCCCATACTAAAAACAAACATCATATGGAATTGGTAATTTTTAGTCAAATTAAAAAGGCATCCCCAGCCTGTTTTACTTGCAAAAAAAAGGCATACCTTTGATTGAAACAGATAATTCAATGACAAAAAATAAAGTACTCAATCTTAACCAAAAGGATTGGATAGGATCTTGGAACAATTGTCTCTAGATGACAGGTCACAGGAGAGTAGGTGTTGAAAAGGTAAGAGATTTTTGATAAAATTAGGAAGGATAACATTTCTTCAGAATAATTAATTCTGATAAATGGCATACAATAAAACCAGGAATGTGTACTGGCAATGTCAAAAGGTACACCACTGTAAAAATTATTTTTTTTCGAAGTTGTAAATTAAAAAAAAAAACAATTGGAGTAGTTTTACAAGAGAACACTATTTCAGTCTTTCAACTTGAAAATTTCATGATTAATTTAATGTGTTACTTGCCATTTCTTTACGAGTATTTCTGAAATTTACTAGCAATGACACCATTTTTTTTTTTTGGTGTACTGTTCAGAAATTTGGGCTCTATAATTTTTTTTTAATATATATATATATATATATACATTTTTGACTAACAAGGCATTCATTTGATCAAAATACAGAAAAATACAGTAGGCTAATATTTTGAAATATTATTACAATTTTCAATAACTGTTTTCTATTTAAATGCATTTTAAAATCAAGTTTATTCCTGTAAAGTTGACTTTTTTGCAGCCATTACTCCAGTTTTCACTGTCACATGATCCTTCAGAAGTAATTCTAATATGCTGATTTGCTATTCAAGAAACATTTCTTATTAATATCAATGTCGAAAACATTTGTGATTTTTTGATTAATAGAAAGTTCAAAACAGCATTTATTTGAAACAGAAATCTTTTCACTGTAACATTATAATAACATTATTAATAACATTGTAACATTAATACGGGGAAGTCGTGGCCTAATGGTTAGAGAGTCAGACTCGTAACCCAAAGGTTGCGGGTTCGAGTCTCGTACCGGCAAGGATTGTGGGTGGGGGCGCTCTCTCCCACCTTCAATACCATGACTGGAGGTGCCCTTGAGCAAGGCACCGAACCCCCAACTGCTCCCCGGGTGCCGCAGCATAAATGGCTGCCCACTGCTCCGGGTGTGTGTTCACGGTGTGTGTATGTTCACGGCTGTGTGTGTGCACTTAGGATGAGATAAATGCAGAGCACTAATTCCTAGTATGGGTCACCATACTTGGCCACATGTCACGTCATTTTTACTTTTTTCACTTTTTCTTTATAAATGTCCTAACTGCCACTTCTGATCAATGTAATGTATTCTTCTTACTTTATAAAGGTATTCATTTCTTTCAAACATCTTGCTGACCCCCAAACCTTTGACTTCTTACTGACATTAAGATTCAAAAGATTTGAAAAGAACAGAATTTCTCAAATGTGTAGCATGCAACTGCAAATCGAGTCATATGAAAAATGAAGTCATGGGAAATTTACTTCACATTTTTAGAATCAACCCTCATTCCTGAAATGAAGAAACTGACATACAAACTGACATCATCTGTTAAAAACAGCTGTGCAGAGACCTCATGTTAACGCCTTATCATTCAGATCACAGGTGTCAAGGGATCAAACACACCAAACAGGTGCAACGGGACAAAAACCGCCTTCAGGGCGATACTGTTAGACCATAATAAGAATAACCCAACACCACTTCAAACTGATGTAATCTAAGGTGAAATTAAATAAAGGCCTGAGACATATAGCCTGCTTGCATCTAAACTCAGAAGACACAATCATCTGACAGATGGCACTGGCAACCACATCAATGGGATGCATTATTCACAAGTGACTTTTGCCAAAGCTTCAATGTCCTTCCAGTTGCGGACCGCCGACTCTGGCATCTCATATGTTGTCTCATATGGACTCCCAGTGTAGGGTAATGACATTACCAGCTGTTGATTTGACTGACACTGGCTGATGGCCACATGGGAGAAAGACTGGCAATGCAAGCTCTAAAATGCTGCCCCACCCCTTCTGGGACTGATATCCCACAAGCAAGCGCTGTGTGTGCAATGTGCATGATGATATACCTGCTGTGTTTCCATCCAGCGTGACAGTTTTACTACAGCAGTGTTACTGACAGCAAAGAGCGGCTCGGGCAAGTCAGGTAAGATTTGAAATTCATATGACAATTTATGTCAAAACTATACAAGCCAAAATGCTACATGTTCATGTGCTACTTTAATACGAGAAAAGTGGATTTCTATGTCGTAGCAGATTGTAACTTTGCAAAAGGGTGATATTTTGGAGACATATTTAAAATATACTGAGAAAAAAAAAGAGTTATTAGCTTAAGCTTGAGATTTATTTGCATTCATTAATGACAGATGGTGGACAATGCATAAAGAAAATGCCATAAAACAATGTTTAGTCATGTTTGAATCAAATTTGCATCTTTTTTTTTTTTTACACCATTTTTGTAGGCAGAGGTTTGTGTAAACATGTTGACAAACTAGTTGTTTGTTTTATCAGATCATTTCTACACAGGCTTTTGTCAGCAAAGCAGAGAATTGAAAATATTCCAGGGATTTCCAGCCTGTGGCTACTTGTCCACATGCACAAAGGCTTGGGCTCTGGACTGCTTGCTCTGCACTGCTTGTGTGTCCACAATAATGCATCATTGTTTAAGTGATGCTGAGCTTGACTGGCTAGACTAAGTTACCTGGTATAACATGTCAGTTTTGTAAAGATTCCATGGTTCTAACACAACAGACATACTCGACAGTAATACCATGGTTTCTGGATACGTACTAAGGTATTTTCACGTAAACACCATTTTACAAGAATAAAGTAATCATTCAACACCATGGCATCACATTCCGATACCATAGTGATACCTCAGCATTGTTTGGAAGCTTAGCTAGCCGCGGCTCTTAATTTAGTTCCGGATTTGTGAGATGAAATGATGTTGATCAATTCCAAATATGTATTTAGCAGTGAAAGAAACGTCCTTGTTTACAGAAAGCCTGCTACCGAGCAGTTGTCAGTTTCACCACTCTATAACTGAGTAAACAGTGTTGGCATCCCATAAACCTGCAGGCTGATGTGACACATAATATATTCTTACCCAGAGAATTCCTAAATTCCAGTGACGTTTAGCTGCACTTTGCTGACTTTTTTGCGAAACCCTCCTAATGGCAACATGCTTCTACGGCGCGCGTGGAGGACCAAACATACAGAAAAAGCGATACGTTAATCTAATGTCAACAAAATTATTTCTTGACATTTTAACTGTATTTAAAGTACATTATGGCACTCTCAGATTTAACTCGAAAAGGAGTACCCTTTCAACACCTTTCTTACATTGATTGAGGTCGCTCTTTCTTTATTTATGCAAATGTATCAAATGTCATGTTAACATTTTATATAAAGAATTATTTTAAACATAAACATGGCCTGTATAGCCTACACACATATCTTACAATCAGGTGTCTAGACTTTTGTCCTATATTTATTTTCCCAATAAATAATGAAGAAGGTATTTCTTACTTATAATAGTAGCCTAGTGACTAAATGTGACTTATATTAGATTTATATATATATATATGAAGAGTTCAGATGCCAAAGCCTCTAAAAGCCATCTTGGTCAAAAATGAGATAGTGATACTGAGTGAATGCTCTCCACACACAGCATGTGTTCATCAAGTACTTTCACTTCAAATCCCAGCCTCACCCCATTCAGAAGTACCAGTACTTGCATAGAAACCTATACACAGTAGTCAGAAAGAAATGCTAATTTTAAAGAAAAACATCAGACGTACTTAGAGGCTTTGCATCTGAACTCTTCATATATATATATATATATATATATAAGATTTATAAAAAATAAAAATAATAATTTTCTTACTATGTTTTTTACTTATAAATTAATTTTAACCATAGTTTACAGTGTAACTACATGTATGACGTATAAAATATAACAATTTTTACTGAACATTGTAACATTGTAAAATATTTTATATATATTTAGTGTGAAACAAGGCCAGTGTAAACCAATAGACCATATTAAAGATATATGTACTTGCAATTAATTACAGCAACAGTAGAAAAGCATAAATATGCAATAGGAGCAAATATAGGCTATGTAATAATAGTGTTAATAGGTTAATAGTGACTCTTCACTCGCTCTCGCTGCCATTGGCTCGTCTCGTGCACGCACGCGCATGCGTCTCACTTTACTCCTCAGCCTTAGAAAACTCAAGAGAGCTCAATTAAAAGACCATGTCCGCCATCGGGCGTCTACAGTCCTCGGTGTCCTTATTTAAACCAAATTCTCCATGAAATAGCATTATCCCGTGGCCCCCACAATGGCCAGTTCGGTGAGTTGGGCTTTACCTGCTATAGTATCGGTGCGATGTTTGGGATCTCCAGCGCACTCTGTTCGTTTTCGTCTGGGTTGGGAAGGCGATTAGACGCATACGAGGCTTTTCCAGCCATATTTCCACCGGAACAGCCAAGTACAGTAGAACTAGTGGAGTCGTGCGTTTCCAGCGTATCAGTGCATGTCTGCAAAAGCGATGCGCTTGAAAGATTTCAAACAAAAGGAGGGCATCCAATAACAAATATTCAGAAATCTGACAGAATGCTCTATTTGTGTCATTTATTCTGGTATGTTGAGGCTTAATAACATACCAGAAACTTAAATTATTATTTTGCTGTAGCTGCATTGACATGTTCGGCTCCAGATTGGTTTTAACACGCACGCGTTCAGATTGTGCCTTTTATACTAAATGATTAGCGACATGATTATAAAGTGAACGTTTGGGTGTTTTAGGGTGCCGTTCAGGTGAAACTGGAACTCGGTCATCGTGCCCAGCTCCGAAAGAAACCCACCGTGGAAGGTTTTACGCACGACTGGATGGTGTTTGTCCGCGGACCGGAGCACAGCAACATTCAGCATTTTGTGGAGAAAGTCGTATTTCATCTACACGAAAGTTTCCCGAGACCAAAAAGAGGTATGTGAAGCGAGTTACTATGATATCAAATTGTGAATTCTCTTGAATAGTAAGGCTGGAATGATGTGTGATCCTGAATGCACCTTGGCTACTTGATGCATGCAGATCTGGTCTACTGTTGCGCTGCAGGGACAAAAAGTGGCTGACATTTCTAAAAGAGACCAGTGATATATAATGATGTTTTTTAGCACTATATGTTTTGCAGGGTTTCCTTGTGCCGCGAGTAATTGATTTCTCTTTATCTGTTAGCATTGTCATCGCGCGTTAATCAGTGCGCGTCTCCTAAAAAGTTTCAAGAATAATGCGTTAGCATAATAATAACGCGTTAGAACATCCTAGAAGTTCAGCTTTAGTTCGTAAATGTACATTTTGTTCAGAGGAAAGTGATTAAAACACTTTGTTACCGTGTCTTAATGAAAATAATAGGCTACCTGTATGCGTGACACATTTTGTTCGTTTGTATACCTGTGTGTGTATGTTTATTTATTTAGGCTTGTTATTTGTGATGTAATATTCCACTTTTAAGCATTGTCTATTGGTAGTGCCATAGTCTAATTTAATCAAAAATAATAATAGTTAAAAATGGTATACATAAGTAATGCTTTAGTAAAAAATAAAAAAAACGTAGCACATATATACAGTGTTGGGGAAAGTTACTTTTAAAAGTAATGCATTACAATATTGCGTTACTCCCTAAAAAAAGTAACTAATTACGTTACTTAGTTACTTTTTATGGAAAGTAATGCGGTATATTACTTTTGCGTTACTTTCGCGCTACTTTTTAAATATAAGCAGGGCTTGATTGTTTTTAATATAAGAAGTTCTATTCAACACTGCATATATACACTTTCCTATATTGTGCTGTCTTTGTGAGTCCAATAGAAGTGCATGGAAAGTGTTACAACCCTCCCCATCTTGTCAGGTGTAATATTTCCGGGTTTTTAAACATGCAGATGAAATCTGTGGCTGTTATATGTCAAACATGAGAACCTGCTGATTCAGAAGATAGTTCTGTCATTAAATTTTTTACCAAACAGTTACCTCCAAATTGTTTTCTGTTCTATAAACCCCTTTACATTTTACACAATCACCACAGGTGGGCGTGTATGATATTGATTTCAACCCCTGTTACTCATTCTGATGGTGTTACAATTCACCCTGTGTTACAACGTTCCCCTAGTTATTATAGTTCATATATACTATTATTAGACAACGCCAACAACAGGACCGTGAGAGAGAGGGAATGAAAGTGTCTGGTGGTTTGAAAGGAGGATTGTAGGAGTAGAGGTTGATGAAAGCCTTGGAAGGAATTAATTAAAATACTGGTTTCCTGCCCTCACCCAAAGTGTTTAAGCGGAGTTTGCTGTGACGCGATAAGTGCAGGGAAAAATGCTGGAGAAAGTCATTTGTCATTATATTCCATTTATCGCAGGGAACATTTGCACTTTTTGTGATCTAACAACTAACAGTTGTTAGATCATCTTTGTTCCGGCCAGCTATTTTCCTTTAGAATTTTGTTAGGTACATATTTATGCCACAATAACCATTTGTTTTATCATGGACGTCACAGAAATGTACAATTGCATGCATTCTTGCATGACAGAGCTGCAGCTAAATTGTTTTGATTCAACACTTTATTTATGTGACGCTTTCTAAGACTGTGTTTTATTACTGTGGTGGAAAATCAAACCGCAGAGATTGGAAAATTGCACAGAAGGACTTAAGTTTGTTTTGCTTCTGTGGACAGCTGAAGATGCATGACTTCAAACATATGCTAATATTTTCCTCGTTCCTTTGCGTTATAGCGCTCGTACTATGTGCGCTGCCGCAGGTTTGATTTATGCCACATAGTTGTTGTGTTTATGTAAGATCTGAAGGGGATGTGTGCTTCAAATCGGCTCTCCGATGCGTGTGATGACAGTGTGGTGAAAATCACCCCTGCTGTATTTATTTTCTCAAAACATTAAAACAGACTATAAATCAAGGGCCAGACCTCATTTGGAAGCTACTCGAAACTTGCTCCTGAAGGTCTTCGATGACAAGAAGTACACTAAATGTAGGTTTGCTTGAACTTCTAGCCCCTCTCTCCTTTTCTCTGACAAATGTCTTGCAGGGGCTGCTGAAAAAAAAGGCAAAAGCAGCAGGGGGTTACTTAACCTCTAATAAATCCTGCCTTATGACACCAGCTTTTAGGAGATTCTACCAAACACCCCCTTGGGTGCGCACCCTAAAATGTTTTTGCGCTGTGATGAATTAGTAGTTGAAGCACTTCCTAAGGTCTCCAGCATTTTTCATGTTTATAATAGATCCAACAAAATGTTTGCTTCAGGATGAACTATAGGAAGAGGGTTTAAATCACTTGAGTTAATGTAGCTAGATGTGCATACTTTATAGTAATGACACGTGGAATAGGATTTCCTTTTAAAATTTGACCTCTAGCGTTACTTTTCTTACATTTTAGTCCTAATTAGACCCAGATTAAGTCAAATCAAACGGTGAAGAATAAACACTTTGAATATTTACATTTTCTTCAACACCGTGAAAAATGGACTACTAAACACCCCATGTGGCCTTCTGCGTACTCGGTAGATAATATGTGTGGTGTATTTTTTTTATTTACCGAATTTATTTTGCCTTTTTATTGCTGAGGGAATAATAAAACAAGATTGTATCATTACATCGGTGGATTGTGTCAGTATGTCTCTGACTTTGCTAGACTTGACAGTACGCTTGAGCCCAATTGCTGGAAGAGCTTAAAATAACATCATCCTTCTTCTATTCTACTTCAGCTGCCCCACACAGCTTTATCTTTGCTCTCTGGTGATATATATTATGGAGAAAAAAACAGTTCTTCAATCTTTGTGATGTAAACACAAGAGGTGGCTTTCTTACCCAGATGGGAGCATAGAAAAGACAAAAAATTTAGTCTTTTTGAGGGGAAGAATCATTATTTTAAGGTTTGTAAAGGACGTACCTCTGGTAATTCAACTATCATAGAAACAAACAGGTAGTGCTTGCCCGTGGAAAAACTAGCTACTGTGATACAAGAATTGGCCTGAAAACCTGCCCAGTATTTGTCCTTTTCTATTGATAAGGTGTTCAGAGTGGTTTTAGGGTGTTGGCAGGTGCTAGTAAATGGTGCAACAGTATCTGCCCACTTTTTCAACGGCTTTGGCTTCCGGAAGTTTCTTTCCCTTTACTTTTTCCTATAGATATTTTTAAAAGTTTCTGTTAAAGACCAAACCAACCAGTTATGAGGTGAATCACGACATTACAAACTTTTATTTGAAGCGAAATGGGATTTGAAAATTGGTCAAAAAATACAACGCTACAAGACTGTGTTATTAACAGCTTTAATGAGGGAAATAACGGCAATCCCATGAAGCATTGCAACTGACCTAATCAAAAATAAATCCAATGGATGGATATAAGAATATTGATTTAAAGAGTTGATGGGAATTGGTGGGCAATAAAAAGCTCTTTTAGCGCTATTTGCTTGTTTTGATTCTCTGATTGGTAAAGATTTCTTTCCAAAATCATGGGTAATGTAGTTTTTCTCCAGAGATTTCACTGTTAAACATGATTATTTAAAAAAAATATGTTGAAAGAATGCAGACTGACAGCTTCAACAAAAGCATTAACCAGTTAAAAACCTCATAGCTCAAAGTAGGTCTTTTAAGGTTTATAGGTTATCGAAAAAAAAAATTCCTCATATGGAAAAAATGATTGGAATTTTCTGTTGCAGTCCATATGGAAATTCTAGTCCGTATATTTGTTAACTCCAGAGCATGCTCTTTAGCTGGACCTTCATGAAATATTCAATTTAATTATTATCAGATTTTATTCCTGATTTGAAATGTTATTGAAAGGGGCTTGAAGTGACTTTGCCCATATCCAAATAGCCTAACCGTATCTCTGACTTCTGTGCGAATACAAAACAAGACTGTACTGGTTGTATATTTCCACGCAGTTACAGAGATTTGCACCTAGAGACTTCATGCTTCAAAAAGGACTCACAAAGCATCACAAAAATATCCTTCATGTGAGGAACAGCATTTGAAATTTAATTCATTATTCACTGAAAATCTTCATCCCCAGAGAGCTTTTAAAAGCAGCAAATTGAGTCAGATTATTCTGATGTGTAAACAATTCGGTGGGACTGTTTTTGTCAACCAGATTAACGATTCAAAAGGATGATTCCTTCCCAAGTTGGACATTGTTACTTCTTTCATGAACATGCCAAGAAAAGATAGAGCAGATGTCAACATTTTCAGTGAATAATGAGTCATATGGACCACTTTTATAGTGCTTTGTGTCTATTTTGATGCTTGAATGCTCTATCGCCCGTTTATTGTAATTGCATAAAAAAAACAGGCAGTTCATTCTTCAGAATTTCTCCTGTTTCTCACAGAAGACAAACTCATGGTTTTGGAATAACCGACCATGAAGCAAAGTAAATGGCCAATAAAGTTTTGACTTTATGATTGTATTTATGCCCATGTGGGATGATAAATGAGCGTGTTGTGTTTTCATTTACAAATGAAACTACGTGGATGATTAATTCCTCAATTAAACACTATAGTATTTATAATTACGGTCTATTAATTAGCCGAAATAAAATGAAATATATGTTAAATTTAAACTGCATTCCAGCAAAAATTCCAATCAGCATAATCAAAGCTTTATTGGCATGTCGAGCATTTACACATTAGGCTATTATTTACAAAAGTATTCAGAACATTAAGTAAAGAGATCGAAATGAAGGGAAAAAATGAATATTACATTTAATATTCGAATATAAACGAATATAAAAATATAACCAATAATAATAGGCTAATAATATTAATAATAATATCCAAATATTACAGGAAAAAGACGACCAGTTAATGGACTTACAAGACTGTAGGATGAATAAAAATGTTTTCTTGTTTTATATTATGCACTTTATGTAACATTTATTCATGATAAACTTCATTTGAATGTTGACTATTGCACGTAAT